TTCTAATTAAAAAATTACAAAGTTACCTTGATTAAAATTAAATTAACAAGTTAAGAGATGAATAAATATTAAAATAGAAATTCAAATCTATAATATATAAAAAGATATAACATATTTTGTGACAAATTATAATTTATGTAAGAAGTAATAATATAAAAAATTGAAACGATAATAATAATATATTAGAAAATGTTAAATTTCAAAATTTTAAATGAACAATCAATAAAATATTAGAACAAATTATGCAACATATATATTACAACACAATAAAAATGATTTAATAATATCTATATGCGAAAGAAGAGATTGTCCTTGTCTTATTAATTACTGGGATTAGAGATTGCATGGAAGCAGAATTATACTCATGTGGTTATGTTTTATCTTTAATAATAGTCTCGTAAACCTTTATTTGTTTTTATATAGATTTGTAACGATTATTGATAATATTAGATAATACTAAAGAAATCTTAGATTATTCTCCTCAAACACACCCTTAAGGAGTATAATAGTTGTGCGAATATTTTGGCAAAATTAAGTCTAAATTTTGGTAGTGCAATATAAGAGTTAAATATTTGGCCTATTAAACTCCACCACTTAGTGTTAGTGAATGGGAGTTGAGTATCTTATGTACACATGTAATTTTCTCCTTTGGGTTTCTATTTTCATCTTACGTTACCCAAAAAAAAAATGCAAAAGAAAAGTTTTGATATGAAAAGGAAATTAGTGGAACAAATGACATAACCAATTCTTGGCATCTCCCAAACGGGTAAAGTGATATGATAGGATAGATGGTAGGGCCTTTGGTGCGTCTCAATAATGTTTAGTGATAAGATGTGTTGGGAAGACCAAGAGCAACTCACAAACTTCCCTTAGTCTAAATTCATTCTACCAACTGTTCCTTTAATTCAGATTCATTCTCAACTATAACACTTTTTAAACTAATTTACATTTAGTTTAAAAAATAGTTAATTTTTTTTCAACTTACTGTTGAAAGATAAATCCTTTAGGTGTGTTTTGAAACTTGTTTGCAATAATATAAATGAAAATTTATATATTTTAATACACTAAACTAAAAAAACAAGATTTTTTTTTGTTTAACACGATTTTATAAATTTTTAATGGTAAACCAAACATGCAACAAGTCTAATCCAAGTTTATCCTAAAAATACTATTGAGTTACCTACTACATTATTCACACACTAGGTCCAAATGTGAGAGAGCATATTTAAAATAATAAAAAAAAATCTAAATTTTACATTCACTAAAGATATATAGATCGCAAATAATATTTATTATGTGTGTGGATATATAATTTTTACGGCTAAATTTTAAGAGAAATTCAAATTCAAATTTAAGTGTTTTGCATCTTAGGCATCAATTTTACTGTTACAAGTTATTAGTATTCGATGTCGTTCAACCAGTACTCAAATCATGCTTTAAGTATGTATTTTTATTATATTGTAATATGCACATTTTCGGGTATGTTTTTTCAATAACTCATAGATATGTGGTGTATTTGGATAAAATAATAAAAGCAACTATTTTTTACTTTAATTTTACCATAAAAAAATAAATTGTTTCTTTTTTCATCGTTGAGTTATTCCAAATATACTGATAGTCTCATTAGCTAGAATGGACATATCTTCTAAATGTGAATTTAAATATAACTTAAAACAAAATAAAAATAAAAATATCATAAATTTGTGTGTTTATTAGATAAATTAGTGTTCTTCATAGTTAATCCAGTAAATTACTATACTTGTAAAGTTCGATCATTACACATCAAAAGAATAACTAAAATCAACTAACATAGAATTATCAAGTAACACGTATCTAACCTCATATATATATATATATATATATATATATA